CTGTGATGTCTTATCGGTTGTCCGAGGCTCGGCCATAAAGTCTGAAGCTCGGGAATCATCGGGCTACCGGTAGTCCGAGCTTCGGATTCTATAGCTGAGCGAGGTACTGGTGGTTTAAGAAAGTGAAAATGCAGCGAAACGAAAGGCCGACGGCCAACCATGAAAAGAAGAAATAGAATACCCTTCATAATCTGCCCCACCAGACCCACCTGCCCAAGGACCAGTCGGGGCACTCACACTAAGAAAAAAATGAGCCGCTCCCTCTATTTTGTGGCAGCCACCACAATCTGGCCCACTTTCAGCCCTTTTCGATTTCGGCCACCGTCCCAACTACCTTCCCGCTCATATGGCAACTGGTCGGTGCAGAACGACCGTTCGTTCCTACGCCAATTCGCCGAGGTATAGCGTAGCTTACGGGCTGCGAACTATGGCTGGTGTTCGCAGCCCGTTGCACCGGTCCAAGCAATGAAAATATGAAAATGCAGAGTCCACTGACGATGCCAGATCTCACAGGAGAGAGTGGGTGGGCGGGGCCGCTTCATCAAAAAGAGGCGAGGATGTTTATTCTTAAACTTCAAACTTATTTGCGGCACCCTCAAATCTTTTTAGGACTTGGCCATTTTTTTTCTCAACACAAATATTGATCCTCTGGGGTAATGTAGTACTGGCAAAATTTTATATTTTTCCTTAGTTTTTTTTTTTAAACACATTTTGACATCTTAAGAATAACCATGTGGTAGCGAAATTTATTTTTTGATTTGTCATTTTCTTTGTTATGCATTCTGACCCCATGAGGGTAATAAAATGTTGCCAAAAGTTTTGAAAATACAAGCGGATGCCCGCCACGTTCGCGGCGAGGGCCAAGAGCATGGACAAAAAGAAAAAAAGAAAAAAAAAACCCACAGAAGTGGAAGTTCCTTCCAGGGAGTAGGTGGGGCCGCTGGTGGGGAGGGGCGGTTCCCTGCTCTCTCTCTCTCTCCTTCCTTTTTTGTTGCCAAAAAAAAAAAAAAAAAAAGGAAAAACGAAACCTCTTTGACCTCATCCCGTCTTCCCTCCCTCTCTTCCGATCCCGACTTCCCCCCCCTCCTATCCCATCTTCCCTCCCCATCCCGATCTCATCCCTCCTTGAATCCCAACCCTTATCCCGTCTTCCTCTCGATTCCGACTTCCTTCCCTTCTATCTCGTTTTCCCACCCCATCCCCACCTCAACCCTCCTCGGATCCCAACTCTTATCATGTCTTCCTCCCCCTCCTCCGATCCCGACTTTCCTCCTCCTATCCCGTCTTCCCTCCCCATCTCGACCTCCCGTCTTCCTCCCCATCCTAAGGCCGTCGCCCTTTTTTGTAACCAAAAAGGAAAAAAAAAAAACGTAAAACGAAACCTCCCTCTCTTGTGATCCCGATTTCGCCCCTCGTACTCGGATCCTGACCCTTATCCCGTCTTCCTCCCCATCCTGACGTCGAAGACCTCATCCCCTCTCCCCATTCCGATATCTCAAGGTCGTTAAAAAGAAAAAAAACGAAAACGAAACCCCCCTCTCTTCCATTAAAAAAAAAAAAACAATCAAGGTTGTCGCCCTCTTTTGTTGCCCAAAAAAAAATAAAAAAAATAAAAAAAATAAAAAAACGAAACCTCCCTGACCTCATCCCGTCTTCTCTCCCTCGCCTATCCCGTCTTCCCTTCCCATCCCGATCTCATCCCTCCTCAGATCCCAACCCTTATCCCGTCTTCCTCGCGATCCCGACTTCCTCCCTTCCTATCTCGTCTTCCCACCCCATCCCCACCTCAATCCTCCTCGGATCCCAACCCTTGTCCCATCTTCCCCCCCCTCCTCCGATCCCGACTTTCCTCCTCCTATCCCGTCTTCCCTCGTTCTCTTCAGATCCCGACTCCCCCCCCTCCTATCTCGTCTCTCCACCCCATCCCCACCTCAACCCTCCCCGGATCCCAACCCTTATCCTGTCCTCCTCCCCCTCCTCCGATTCCGATTTCGCCCCTCCTACCCCGTCTTTGTCGTCTTCCCTCCCCCTCTTCCGATCCCAACTTCCCCCCCCCCCAAAAAAAAACAAATTACCTTGGTCAGCCATGGCGACGCGATCTATTGATCTTTCCAGAGCGTCGAAGCTCTTTCTCTCTCTCTCTCTCTCCAAACGCTTTCAAACGACGACCCCGACGAACGGTTCCAAACGGCAAGTTCCCCCGGCCACGCACGACGAACGGTTTCGAACGTCTCTCTCTCTCTCTCTCTCTCTCTCTCTCTCTCTCTCTCTCTCTCCCTCCCCCTCCCTCCCCCTCTCTCTCTCTCTCTCTCTCTCTCTCTCTCTC